ATAAAGGCATTTTATAGCCTAATAAAAACATCCATAATGAAATAAATGGTACCTGTATATTAGTACTTAGAAATACTTACCGTAATACATTTTTTAGTTTCTGAAATTTATTTGCAGTATCTACTTATTTTCTAAAGCTGTTTATATGTATTGAAAATGAAGTGTTTTGACCTCGTGCAAATTTTTTCTTATACTGATGTCAAACATCGATTAATGGGCACAATTAAAAAATCACAAAGATTGTGTAATTCTGTTGCTCAGTGTAAAATTACGCAATTGATCTCTTATGTAGACTTTCTCTTATAGAATTCTACTTCTCTCTGGGTGTCTGTTAAACAGATCTGTGTGAATTTTTTAAATACCAAAACTGGAACAATGAACTTGATACGGTATGTACAATGCTGATAATATTATCAAGTAGTCGAGTGCATTTTGGAAAACAAATAACAATAGATTTATATTTATTTATTGTTTAACTGTTTAATATTTTCTATTAAAAAATATGTAAGCATGTAGGAGGTGAAATAAAATATCACATACATACCTACATAATTTTAGGTGATTTGAACACTAATAATAGGTTTGTTTGTAGTTATTCTTTATATACAGGGTGAAACGTAATTAAATGTACAAAATTTACTCACAGCTTCTGACGAAAACAAAGCAATTAACCCTAATACGGCTCAGTATCAAAAAGCTTCTTTAATATTAAGGATCTTCAAAATAATTTTGTAATTATACTTTAATTAATACGTAGGAACTTAGAAATGTTGTTCGTTCAGAAAATGAATTTCAGGCACTTACCCTCTATTGCTTACGTAGAATGTAATCCAGTGGCTGGCTATACAGGGTGATACTGAAGTTGAGAGAAACAAAAGGAAACACCAAAACTTCCAGGAAGGGTTTTAATAACAATAAACAAAACAAACAAACAAAATAATGACACAACGGCTCGAACAACATTATTAATTTATTTATTTACACGCGACAGCGTACCGAGATTCGACACCTCGCTTCGACACGCCCATTTCTTGGGTCCAGAAGTTTTTGTTCATATCTTATTAGCGGGAACCTGAATATCGAGACGCTTTGGTATAACTATACTATGTTAATAATTACCTAATTGCCCGGACATTTATATAAATGTGACTAACTGAACTTACAAGTAACCCTAGCCTTCCTTTAGTGATTCCGTGTAGCAATACGGGACGGATTAGTCAATCTCATTTAATATATTCTTAATAGCTTGGAAAATCCGCCTAAAAACCAGCTATTTGATCTATTAATCTCCAATTATTATCAATTTAACAATTTGATTTAATTCTAATTTGGATCCTCTACGCTCTTCTCGTGGTTTCGCGTGTTATTAAAAATATGGGTTTCTTTGTTCTGTCCCAGCATAGGCTTGCGCCTCCCGGGCGCGACGGTCTAAGTGAACTTGTTAAAAAATATTGCTAAATTTCTCCGAAGGACGAAGCTAAACCTACTTGAGTGCCCTTAACTTTCGATAATTTGTGTTGACTGAAATATTTTACTTTTTGGCCCATTCGTTCCGAGAACTAATAAATAAATTATTACGCGTCCCGGCTTTTGTTACATACTCAATAATTATGTGGGGTGCAAATATGTTTGTAGTACTGTACCTACGCCATTTTCTGTATGTTCAACAGCCGTGCAAATTTCAGTAAACGTAAGATATACGAGGTAAAAATATGCTGTTTTTCCTTATTTTGAATGTATTGTCAATTGTCTCATCCCTGAAGAAAATTTATATAACTGGTACAGTGAGCAGTGAAGAGATATTGTTTCTAACTTACTTAGATTTTCTAAAATACTGGACAAAAATGTGCGCATATAGACGCCTCTCTTAAGAAGTGACAGAGCCAATTTAAAATAAATAAATAAAAAAATATTTATTTGAAGATAGCGAAAGTTTTTAAGGAAGTATTTTGGTTCCGAGGTATATTTGATTTGCTTTGTTTTGATCATAAGAAATTATGATTAAATTTTTACAACTAATAGTTACTCACCCTGTATATATTTTACTGTTTGTATCATATATTTTAAACATTGTTTTCATACGAGTTGCCAAAATGGTGTACAATTTAACTCGACCAATGTCAAACATTTTCTCAAAAAGAAATTATAATCTGCTTTCAAGGTTTCGCATAATTTACGATTTCACATATGTATGGATTGTCTGATTTGCCGTTTTTCTCTTGTCCCTGTAAATATATTTATATATCTACGTTGTTGATTCGCCAAATTTACTGCATATTTATGCAAAGATAAGACCACACTGCCAAATAACTCGTGGATTTCCTTTGTAATGCACGTGGCTTCATATTTATATTTTGACCATTAAAAGGGGGTACTCAAAGCTTGTTATGAAAATAAAGAAAATATCTCTGTATTATCTCTAGAAATCAGAACTTTAATAAGTAGTTAAATATTTTATGCATTTTTAAATCATAAGTGCTACTCTGTCCAAAATGTAAAAGAAGGTAAATCAAAATACGCAAAAAAACGGAATTGTTTCAGATATTCTCAGCAACCTCTAAACTTTAGGTAAAAAATAAGCCTATGTTTACCATGGACTGGCGAAAAATAAATCAAAAAATCCCACAAGTTTATAATAATAAAAGTGGAATAAAATACATTTTTTTTGAAGATATGTAACTTTAAGTAAGTAAGCAGAATAATTCAACTAAAGTTATTTCATCTAAATAGGTTTATTTTCATAAGGAAGCTATACAATTATGACTCATTCGCTTCCGCAAATTCTGTAAGAGGAATTCCAAAATTAAAAAAAGGAATATGTAAGAACTAACCTATAAATGATTTTCTGGAGGTGTAAAGAATATATATGCCTATGTATTTAATAGTAATAATATAATTCAAAAATTTTTAAAAACCTACAGAGAATATTTTTACAAAAAAGAAACAAACTTGGCCAAAATATTGTAGTTACAAAAATATACATATTTATATACTTTCGAATTCTTCAGAAGGAATCAATTCCCTATGAAGAAACTTTGTATTCCGGAGAAAAAACATCAATCAAGATGACATCTTTCTCTGTGGATAATCATACTTATTATGTTCAAAATATATTTTAAATACAGAACTTCTGCATTTCTATAATTTTTAGTATTTTTTTTTAAATTGCGGAAGTACGCCGTCATTCCTTCCGTCTAGATCGAATTAAAAAGACGAAAAGCTCTCATGTACTTTTGGATGGCACATACTTGTCTCCTATGCGAATGAATTAAATATGAAACCTCAACTTTCACTCCTGTCTTGATTGGCACTGACTTAAAATCGCCTCATGGACAATTCTGTATGCTTGGGGCTTTTTGCGTCACCTGATAATCGTACGATTATTATGATTGTTGTGATGTTTGAAAGTGTGTCGACACGTGTAGCAGTATAACGATGTTTTGTTTTGCAAATTGAATAATAGAGTAACATACGCAGTAAATTTTAGAAACAAGTTAAGTTTCTTTTTGTAAAAAATATGTAAAACGCATTATTTATGTTATCAATATCATACGTACACAGACACACATTATGAAGAGTGATTGAATTTGAAATAAATTGTGTTTTGAAAATATACTCGTATAATTTTTTTTTGCAATGGTGCGTCCATAATAATATGAATTTTAAGTCTATATACTGAAAGAACGTGGAAGACATACATATTGTCATGTTACCGAAAGATTGAGCTTATCCAACCAGTAAGAAAATCGAGATAGTTCGAGCTGGTACCTATGGAAATAAAAGATTGGGCATTGGCTTATTGAGCGATAGGACCCCACGTTAGGCGACATGTTGCGGAATAGCTAGTTTAGGCTCTGTAACTAGCTGCAGATCTCAATTAGTTCCTTGGATTTGCCAAATCTTATCATCCTTCAGCACGTTGTAGTTGGCGTCAGGATAATGATCCACGCTCTAATTTAATTCCGGGGACGCACTTGGGCACTTCACTTCCTTTTGGAGTTCAAGTTTTAAGGTTTTAACTGGCCCTGTTTTTTGCACCGAATTTAAGGAGCACTTTATTTTGTAATAGTTATTTGCTGCCTCCGTAAAGCGCCTCTAAACTTTTTGAAGCTTATTTTCACTTTAGTTTTAAAGCTGTTGTTTTTGGAATTTTAAGAGCTGTGTACTATTTGAGCCGTAGATAGGACTAACGACTAATCTAGGCAGGCAGATTGAAGAGTTTTGTCAGCTTTAAACTCGTTTGGCTATTTTTTCTGCCTGACAATAGATATCGTTATAGATATTTGCATATAGAATAGAAAAATTTTTGAAAAGTGCTATTGACGGTCCTCGTCAACGTCGACTATCATTGACAGGGCGTTTTGTGGCTGGTTAGAGCGATTTTGAGCGCGACGACGGGATTTTGGAAATATAGGTGAAATTTCCAATTTTCCCGTCGCGCGTTCTGCGTCACCGCACTGGGACTCTAAGGACATCGGTCCTTTGGGACATCGTCCTCGACTCCTCGTCTTCAGCTACGATCAATTTGGTTTGAGACGGTTTTTTCCAGCTTCGTGGTCCCTAATGGAAAGTGTTGTGAAATTGGATGTATTTCCATTTTCAATCGACCCATTGCTTTGAAAAATGCATGTAAATTAATCAAGTTGTGTTAAAAAATGCAATGAATGATTATTAAGGAATGCATAAAAAATTACTGTTAGAAGTTTCCCTAGTGCAGTAGGCGGTAGCGACTGATTTATTTATTTATATCCTCAGGTCATTAAAAAGTTTATTGCCATGTTTTAAACACGCGAATCAACGTCAACAAAATGTCATTTAAAAGACATTTGCCAACAAGTATTTGTAAACAATCGTCTTTATCTGAGAGCGTCAGTAACAGTTATATCAGAAATTTGATTACATCAAGGAATTGAGTTATCTCGTTGCGAAAATAAACATTATAATAAACCGCCTCACACATGGGCATCACAACAATAACATTTTCTGTTTTTTTGTTTCAGGTACACAGCGCTACACGCGCTCTGGATAAAAAACGTCGTATAAAAATAGTCGCTTCGAAATTTCGCGTTACCATTCACAAGTGAAACATCGTTTAGATAACACGACGGTTGACTGTTCTGTGATATTATTGTTTTATAAATTGGACTTGAACTTTACATGGGAACCTTGAACGGTCGGTTTTGTGCTAGTTATGGCAGTGTAGTCGATGCAAGGAAAAACATAAACTGAGTTTTTCTATTCGGCTCGAGTGGTGTAATAATTTGAACAAGATGCACGGTATGATGAAGTTTTTCTCGAACTTCAAGGAGTTCTACAATGACATCAATGGTGCAACCCTCACCGGTGCCATAGACGTAATCGTGGTGGAACAACCTGATGGCTCCTACAACTGTTCCCCCTTTCACGTCAGATTTGGGAAACTGGGAGTACTCAGGAGCAGAGAGAAAGTGGTGAGTTTAGGCTTTATCCCTGCAGGGAACATTGTGTTAGTACTGTAAATAATTAGAAATGACCGTTGAGCCGTTTAACAATGGGTCAAAGCTTATATGGACAACAATACATAAAAGCAAATCAGTAGTTAACAAATGCCTAGTTTCTTAAATGGAATACCAAGGTTATTCAAATACAAATATTGTGAAAGAAATTAGCAAAATTATTTTTTATATTGGAGCAAATAATAAGTTTGATTTTATTGGTTTTAACTGGTGGTAATAAATTGAGACAGCTTAATTGAACATTCGCCCTTCGTATTTATAAAATTCGAATTTTATATATTAGAAATAATTAATGATCAATATAATACCTACTGTTACCGTGTATCTAATTTAATAGTTTCAGAATATTTTTTTTAAGCGCAAGAGCGAAAATTCATTTTTATTTATGTTGTATTTTTCAGACTTTGTTCTAAAATTCAGTGCAATTAAATATCCAGGCAAAATAATAATTAGTTTACAATATAAGTATGTTTTTAATAAAATAGTTTATTTTCTTTAGACCTGTTATTTTGAATCTATAAAAACTGAATAAATAGGTATGAGAATATATGTTTAAACTTCGATTTATAATATAGAGTTATCAGCAAACAAACATTAATCATTATTTATTAATCCATCTTTAATGAATATTTTTATTTTTTCTACTTGGAAGATAAAGGTCGATTCATCTATTTGGCTCTGAGGTTGTACACTCACAATTCATTCATGCTAAAAAAATTGGACAATATATGCACTGGATGCTCAAGTAACTCACATTCTAGTTTTAATTGTGTCAAGAGGTAGACATTCGAGACTAAAACAACATTTCACATTTTCAATAAAATTTCGTCAGACCCGACAAGAATAAATACTACATTTCGAGTGGCTATCGTGCCACTGAAAAAATGTAGTGTTTGCTTAAAGTAGTATTTAAATTATTAATGTTAAAGTGTACAAGTAATTGGACTGTAATATAAAGTGTAGGAAAATGTTGCAACATATGGGTACGCTTTATTTAAACGATCAGATGTACAATGTTTCAAGCCAAACATTTTTGAGGAACAAATTATAGAGCATCACATTTTACACTAATTGTTTGTACCTGGAGCATGATGATGTTTCGTGACTTGAACTATAGTGTGAATTTGTCTTAATGAACTTTAATTTGTTTTCCTTCTAAAACTTTAATATTTACCAACCTACATAAATAAATATTTTTGATTTGAATAACTGTCTAAATAAAAAAAAGTTATCAATTTTGTCTACTTAAAGTACCTATGCTTATACCGAGTGGCCTAGATTTGAATCAACACTAGTGACAGAACAAAAGATTTTTAGCGAAAAATTTCATATATGAACATGTGGTGTAGATATAGATTGTTGAATTTAAAAAATATGTGACATTTATTTTCTCAAATATCTCTAAAGCTGCTTGACTTGGGGCGATGATACTTGAAACAATTATTTCCTTAATTAAAAGTAAAATTCGTTAACTTACAAATACGTAAATCAGTTCCAGAGATACAAGGGTTTGGTCACTTCAGAGTCTAGTTTTTTCATTATAAAAAATGCAAAAATTTTTCATAGAAATGTGATTTTTAAATATACAGTAATATACCAAATTAAAAAAAAATCAAAATGATGAATTAATGAAATTATAATTACACGGGTACCACCTCGGGTATTACAAAAGTTAAATAAGTTTTGTATTACTTTTATTAGTAAAGTGACTTGCGCACATTTGTAGGAAATGAAGCAATTGTTGTTTTCAGTATAATTACCTACTGATTATATTCACCCAAAATTTTATTGGTCATATTCCACACCAATTTACAAATTGTAAATTAAATTTCCATTTGAAACATCATAAAAGTTTAATTAGATATTAAAATGTAATGATCTTTATACACATATATTGTAAAGATGTGATTTTGGCGAATTGCCAGACCTTTATGAAACTGTCTTAGTTAAAAAACTTTATTCCAACAGTAGGAAAATTGAGAAAATTTTGTATTACTTTTTTCTATTCACCAATACATCAAAATCACAACTAAATTTTTTTTTTTAATTACACCTATGTGTAGTTCATAAATTATGTTAATAAATATGAACTTTTGTGTTACATGAATTTTTAACTTTGTTTTAGGTTGATATAGAAATAAACGGAGAACCGCAGGAAATCCATATGAAATTGGGAGAAAGTGGAGAAGCTTTTTTTGTAGAGGAATTAGAAGATGACGAAAATGACATACCAGAGCACCTCGCAACTTCACCTATACCTGTGTCAGAGTTTGAAAATATGTTTAAAAACCAAGTAAGTGAATTTGATGGATTTGCAAGCCACTTGTTAGTGTCTGTGCTATTTTGTCGTAATTCGCTTGCTTGCATAATAACCACAATTTTGTTTTTTCTTAAATATTTATAGTTTCCTTTCAACCAGGGTCGGAGACGTAGCTTCCACCTGGACGATATCTCAAAATTAGAAAATCAGGAAAATGATTATATAAAGCGACGTTACACCGCTGACAATGAAAGCAATAAGACCAGGGAACGGAATTTTATTAAGAGACAGATCGACCTCGGCAATCTCGAGCTGGGCGAAAACTCTGCAGAAGACATGACTCTCTCTATGATATCCAACAAACAGAGTAGTGAAGATCTAAGCAAGAGCAACAATGACATTTCGGAGACCATTTTCAAAATGGACAGTTTGGATATGGAGTGTAGTAAGGTAATTTTCTAGATTCTCTTTATACATACAAGGCGATCCAATTTGAGCAAATCAAACTTTAACAACAGGTGGTACTAAAAAAAATATTTAAAATTTTCATACTGGTATGTACCTAAAAAATTAATATTTAATATTTTTATAAATTTGATTACTTACTAGGTGGAATTTTTGTAAAGAATCAAACTTTCACACTTGTTGTACTTTTAATTAACAGTTATATTTTCATTTGATTTAAATATCTTATAGGCTGAAGAGCCGAAATCCGAAGCAATAAAGACTACACCCGTATCAGTGCAAAGGAATCTTGAGGATCCACAAAGCGAAAGCAAGAGTAGTAAAAAGAGACGTAAAAGAGTTCGTCGTAAAAATCCTCCAAGGAAATCTAACAGTATTAATCAACTCACAGCTAGTCAAAATTCAGACAACTTAGAAAATAATGACACAATCACTGACAGGAGTTCTTTGGACAGTAACTCTTCAGAACCAGAATTAAAAGATGTGCAGTAAGTTTAAACATGGTTTTATTTGTGTTATATTCACTGTTACTATTTATTAAATTTTTTAAAAGTTGGTTAATAACATTATTATACTTGTAGGAAATTAAATGAGGAAAAAGAAACAGTTATGCCATCTGACACATCCAACATAAAGAAAATTGATGCAGACTTCCACTTCTTCAGCGATACAGAACTGACTGCAAACGGTAATGTTGATTCAAGAGCTGGTTCTCCCGCCAATATCGAAATGGTACAGTCAGATTCTGAAATCGAAGTGAAAGTCCGTAAAGGTAATCAATATTGCGGAAGTACAATTTGCGTGAATTAATCTATCTTTTTCTGTGCAGGAGAACAAAATGAAGGTGCGAAGAGTTGGGAATGGGGTGGTTTCCCTAGTGTATCTCAGCCAACATCGCCAAACAGCGAAAATCCCCAACAAGAAGAGCATAAATCGATGTTAAGCGGCATGTTCTCCTTCATGAAACAGAAACACAGTGCTCAAAACCACTTGGAAGGTGGAATGTATCTCTCCGAGATTACCTCGGGTCGTATCGATCGGGATGTGGCAGAGATTTACTTCAGCCAGGGCAAGGATAAGAAAGGTAATTATTGAATTTGGTGTTCTTAGGATACTTGTTATGTAATTTTAAATTTATACAAATTGATATATACATTTTATTAAGTGTAAACAAAATATAGTTAACGCAACTATAGAATCGATTGCTACTTGCCTTTCAGCTGCTAGAAAAATTGCTCTAATGCACAAACTTTCAGAAATACTCCTTTCAATGTAGTAACTTTTAGTTAAAATTTCTGTACCTCTTTTTTGTAGAAACCAATTTAAAAAACTCTTCAAACTTTACCTGGTGATGGAAGTCCTTAAGAAAAATAGTTCATATAAGTCATAGGGCCTTTGTTTTTGAGATACATAGTGTTGAAATTAGAACACATATGTTTAAATATCTCTTAAAGTGTCTGATTTGAATTATTTATAAGTAATGGCTAACGGACAAGAATTTGTTGAGTTGATACACAAATCTGTTACCAGTTGCAGAGATGCTGGGAAGAACCCGAAAGTTCCAATGCCACTGAAGGTTTTGGAAATTGAATAAATACATTAAATTGCAATTAGTGTTTCTAAGATTTTATATGAAAACCGAGTAATTTCTAATTATTTTTTTTATTTAAAATAATAATTGAATACTTAAAAAATAACTTAAAAACTATTAATTTCACAAAAACAAAATCAGTAATTATTAGAAATTAAGAGGTGGGCACTTTTCGAAAAAGTGTGTTACGGACATGTCCGTGGACATGTTGATGAAATGTCCGGACATATCGGGAAATGTACTTTTGACCTTGAATCTAATAAGGCACCTATGAGTGACGTCATGTTTTCACAGGTCACTGCTTGAGGGCACACAAAGCAAAATATTACTTTTATTCTAATGAATATGTGTCGATATATTTTACTTATTACCTACCTTTAGACTTTTTTATAAACTGGTTTCTAATTTTCCCCGAACAGCCAATACACTTATTTAAATGTTTTTCCATCCTACTGGAATTCTTAAAAATTATTTTTGAGCAGAAGTTACATTTATAATGAATGATTTTTACTCAATTCAGAAAAATATAACCAAACTGTTGATTTTGGCGTCATACTTCATTTATAAACTATTTGTGTATTAAATATTAAATTAAGAATCAACTGATTACTATTTACTTATCGTTAACTTTGCCAAAAATAATAAAATATGGACATATAAAAGAGGTTATATTTTTAAAATGTCAGTTTCAGTTATACAAATACCAACAAAATTACAAGAAAATGGCTAAATGTCTATTTGTACATGTACCAACCTCAAACATTTTTTGCGGGAATTATGAATGCAACAAATAATTCCGTGCATGCGCATATAACTTTTCAATCTTGAAAAATGTCCTCAGTACATTTCCAGTTTTCACGACATGTCCAGCTGACATGTCCGCGGCACAGCTCTAGAAATTAAATTTAAAATCTTTATTTGTGAAAAAAAAATCCAATATATTTTTTATGATACAAATAGCTTTGCAATTATTTTCAATTTATTCAACTATGTCGAAGTCTTATTTTAGGTTTAAAAAAATAGTTACTTAAAATGGCTAGCTTTTCTAATAAAATAGAAAAAATTAATTAGTTTCACTTATCCAATTTCCAAAATATTCAATTCCGACATTATTCTGGGGTTCTTAGTGATGGATCTCTCGATCTCCGCCACTGGTTGACAGATTTGTGTAAAGAACTCATCAAATTTTTGCTCTTAATTATTTCGGTCATTACCACGATCTTCTTCAAACGTTTTAAGAGATAGTTAAATAGATTTTTTCTTATTTTAAAATGTTCTATCAGACCAAACAAAGTGTGATATACTGTTCATGTTTCAAAAAAACTTGTGTGCAAATTCCTCATGGAAAAATAATAGGGGTAGTTCATGTAAAGTTTTTTTCTTAGATACCCCTTCAATTATCTGTATCGGCGACACTGCTTTTCAGAAAGAAACCGTTTGCATATTATTCTTAACGCACGTTGATGTTTACTCGTGTACAAATTTTGACATTTTTATATTTAGTCGATTTAAAGATAATAATTAAGGAATTTGGATAGTAACAACTTCAACACACTGTTTCTCGAAAACAGGGTGTCTAAGAAAAAAACGTGATATGAACTACCCCTATTATTTTCCCATGACATGAACGGGACACCCTGTATTTAATTTGGGACACCCTGAACTTAAATATTTTACACAAATCTTTTGAGAAAAAAATATGAATTGAAAATGGGAAACGACAATTATTTAAATACATTAATTTATAATTTAATATTATTTTATTAATGTTTAATGCTTTTTCTATGCTCTTTCTCGATGCTATCCTATAAATGCACAGTTCTTTCATGCAGTTTCGTGCAATTTTTTTTATATAGACACCTCTGCTTAATTTATCTTCGTGAAAATTATATTTATTCATATTTCTTTGATAAAATTTTTTGTGTTGGTATTTTTTTTGCTTGGTAGTGACATAGCTAGTGCTTGGAGCATACATTGTAATGTAATTTGTGTTATATAATATAAATTCAGATGTCGACATGGATTGTGAATCAGGAAATGGGCCATCGCTGACACAAAGTCCCAACAGTGCGGAGGGTTGTAAGAGCATCGATTCCGACTTCGAAGAACACGCTAAACTGTGAGTAAAAATTTCGACCACTTAATTTTATCCATGTCAAAATTTACTTTTAAAGTTATAGCTAGTAATTCTTAATTTATTTATAGAAAAAAATAGTGTTGTTCAAAATACCTTTAAATTATTTTTAATTTGCCTCTAATATCTTCATAGATCAAAATATATTAATTTTCTCTTTAGTTTTTTTCCTTTTTTTTTAGGAAACTTTTGTTTCAAGAATAGTTAAATAAATAGGAAACTTTTGTTTCAAGAATAGTTAAATAAAAATTTAATAAATTTGAAATCCATCTTGAACTTCCACAATTTTTCTATTTATTGTTATATTTTATAGTGCTCAAACTTACACCCAGGATATATCGTTGTCTCTCTGCGGTTGGGAACCAGCACCCAGCTGTGAAAGATTCGTGGAACACCTAGTCCAATTTAGTGATCTCTGTAATAATCCCATCTTATTTGAAAATCCGAACCTTGTCGTCCGTATTAAGGATAAATATTACAGCTGGAAAGTGGCAGCTCCCATTATTGCAAGTATAATGGTCTATGGAAGGCCGCTTGTCCAAGTAAGTAACCGTTTCTGTTTAATTTTCTACAAGATAAGTTATCTATATCATACATTCTAGTCTTCCGTGGATCAATTATGCAACTTGCATATGTCGGCTTCACAAAATGTCCATGATGCAAAAGAGGGACCGAAACAGCAGCAGCAAGAAGCCAGATACTCCTGGTGGAGTTGGAGACGTGGCAAGGTATCACGAGAGGTCACTCCCGCCCCTGATACCGCCATGGAAACGGATAAGACTGTCGAAACCAAAGACGTTATCGTAAAGGAAGTCATAGAGGAAGTACAAGATAAAAAAGATGTACTTGGTAAGTTATATTTGGATTTTGTCTTTATTTTTCGTCATCCTTTTATTGCTTCAGATATTGAGGGTGTACAAACCAATGCAACTAGCATTAAGGATGAATCGAATTCTTCACTTTCTCCTTTAAGTTTAAGCTCGGAAAAATGTAGGAAAACTTTAAGATTGAGCTCTAAACAAATTGTAAGTATTTGCAATGGAGGTGACTTTTGTTATTAGGTTTGTTGTTCCAGTAAGAGATAGCTTAATTTATTCAATATTAGTTCAAAACTATACAAGTATATGTAAATTGGAATACCGTTTTAATTTAATAATTTTTCTATTTCTAATATTCACTTTTTTTTTGTAGTCCTCGCTAAATTTGAGGGATGGTGTAAACGAGGTAGAATTCAGTGTAACTACAGCTTATCAAGGTACCACTAGGTGTCAGTGTCATCTGTACAAGTGGAAGTGGGATGACAAAATTGTAATTTCTGATATTGATGGAACTATTACAAAGTAAGTACATTTACAGAATTATTTTTCTTTTATATAGGGTGCAACTTTAAGAGAGAATCAGTTTCATGGACGTAACTAGGATCTTTGCTTGATGCGGGCCCAGACCTAAAAAAAAAGCGAAATCAGCAACTTAACGATGTAAAATTTCAAAACTGAAATACTCTTCTTTCGTTTGCTTCCAAAAAAAAGAGAGGTCAAGCAATCGGTAACTTATCGATATAAAATTTCATAACCTAAACACTTTTTTGTTTGATTCTAAAAAAAAGATCACGCAGTCAATGACTTACCGATATGAGAAAGGTGATATTATTGTTTTTTTTGGGGGGGGGGAGAGGTCACCTGGCTTTTTGAAGTGGGCCATGCACACCTATGCCCCCCTAGCCACACGCCCATGGTCGGTTTTTTTAGAGGGAATATTATGTGTTTTTCAAAATACTAATCGGAAATTATTTATTTTAAACTGCATTTAAAATTTTTTGAATCAGCTGAAGTCACATTCCTTTTGCATGATTTTGAGATGTGATATTTTAAAGTCATCATATTTATTTTTTTGAAGTTAGACAATGCAACGAATATTAAATAATTTTCCATTCTTTTTTAGAAATTAATATTTTTTACATGATTTATATTAACTAAAATTGGTATGTGAATAAACAGATATTAGTAATTGAAAATAAAAGTATTATATTATAAAATAATTATTTTTGCTGTTTTATAAAATATACATAATATTTGTTACTCTAATAGATTTGAATTATTATTTAAAATCATTTAGTTTTTTTAATTTTTAACAAAAAATACAGTATAGACTTTAATCCGAACTCACCTTAATCCGAATATCCACTAGTCCGGCCAGACGGCCCGACGAATGCCCGTTTCGATGGTCCAAATAAAACTTGTTTATAAAACATATTTTACGATAATGTTTAGTTTTATTGTTATTTTTTGCCTTGTCAGTAACACATAAAATCTAATTCATATTCGAACTTATCTCTATAAACTCGTGTTTTAATTAGTTCGGATTAAAGAGTATACTGTATTATTTTTTGAAAGTACCATGTTTAGCTTACGAATCTTAGTATCGACAACCTCTGACATTGAACTTGGTTAGGTGAAATTAAGCAAGATCTATATTTTAAAAAGTCACATATCCAAAAAGTTTAAATTTTCACCTTATAATTTCTGCAAAAATAATGCTGAGACTACAGTTCTATCTTAAANTCTTTCTAATTTTTTATTTTAATTTGGACTCAAATTTAATCTGCTTACTAACCATTAAGAACTCAAAACACACACAATTGTAAAATACTGGAAAAAATGATAAGATTGGCACTTAAACGTAAAAAACATTTTTTAAATAATTTATTTGAGCAATTTATACTTTAAAAAAATTTTTGTCGGTCCAGTATTTTACCTTCCGCGGTCCGGATCTGGACCGCGGTCCGCCAGTTGCCGACCCTTGGTATAGACTCTTTAATCCGAACTCACCTTAATCCGAATATCCACTAATCCGGCCAGACGACCCAACGAATGCCCGTTTCGATGGTCCGAACAAAACTTTACTTCGAACAAAATTCGGTTTAACGTATATGGTTCAGATTATAAAGTCAAACTACATAATAAAAAGTAACCGCTAAAAACGTAATTGCCTGGTAGTTTCGGGGAAACCCTTTTATGTGAGTTGGAACCTTTCTCGATTAGATCTTTTTAGTTGAAATATTATTGCCGTGCAAACATGTTGATATTTATACGACATATTTTACGATAATGTTTGGTTTTATTGTTATTTTTTGCCTTGTCAGTAACACATAAAATCTAATTCATATTCGAACTTATCTCTTTAAACTCGTGTTTTAATTAGTTCGGATTAAAGAGTCTATACTGTATTATTTTTTGGAAGTACCGTGTTTAGCTTACGAATCTTAGCATCAGCAACCTCTGACATTGATCTTGGTTAGGTGAAATTAAGCAAGATCTATATTTTAAAAAGTCACATATCCAAAAAGTTTAAATTTTTACCTTATAATTTCTGCAAAAATAATGCTGACTACAGTTCTGTCTTAAATGTTCTCCTCTTGTATATTACCAGTATCTCTGGTCCTTTGCAGTGGCGGCTAATGGCATTGAGAATAGATGAAGCATATTCATTGATTGACTAAAAAGAAAAAAAAGCGCCCCAGGTGAAAATTTTCAAATTTTCAAGGTCAAACGGGTTTACATGAATCTGGAAATTTTTAGTTGCATTTGCAATATTTCTGAAAAACTGACGTTCGTGAGAAGGATTTTCATTTAGATTTTATAAAAAATAGAAATATTTGTTTGGCTTGTGGACTTCTGTGAACATTAACGCACACGTACATGTATGTTCCAAAAGAAGCTTTGTGGTTACGACAGCCTCATGTGACTTTTCCAAAATTATTAAATCCCCCCTTATTCCACAAGCCCGACTTTACACCCACAATTAAACAGGTCATACTGAAAAGTTTTTTAAATAAACACTTCCACACAACCACTTATACTCCGAATACCATTCATTCCGTAACTTCCAAACGTACACTTCGTCTTTTGACTTCCCCCTTTTTTCCACAACGAGAGAAAGCACAGGTCTCTCGCAATTTAAAAAATCCTTTTTGTCCTCAATTTTTCATCTGGAAAATAGCGTTTCCAATAAAATACATACTGGATTATACATAGGAAACATTTCTACAATTATTATACAAAACAAATATTAACTAAGAACAGTTATTATCATGCACTGGGCGACACGTATTGTATAAACTGTTTAAAGGCAGGCGATGGGCGATGAGAATGCTGCTTCAGTATCTGCGTCACTCATTCCCCCACGCTGTAATTTTCTCCCATGTTGGCCGCCTCATTACTATGACGACCCCCAAAAACAATGCTTCGAAGAGAAGCGGAATTCAGACTGTTTCGATCTGCGTTACTTGCTTATACTAAACGTACTATACGAGGTTGATGTTTGCGCTCAACAAAGGCAATGTTTTTTTAGAAGGCATTCACCGCGCAACTATTCTGTTTATTTCTGCGTATTCAACAAACAAACACAATACATTTTCAATATAGAATTATACCTAAATTATAAAATTTATATAAAATTAAAAATAATTTTAAATTGCANAAAAAATGACCATAACTAACGTTGTAGGATTTTTCCCTGGCTATCTGACGGTGACCCTTGATTTGACTGTGACCTTCACCTTCAAAAACCGCACTATATCAATTTTGGCAAAAATCAATTGATTTATGAAATCGCGTCTGCCATCTTGGATCCGCCATCTTGGACTAAAATTCCTCAAAAACAGATTTCAGATTCGTAGTCAGCGACCCCAAAAACCCTCCTATACCAAATTTGGCGTAAATCGGTTAATTTTTTGGAATCGCGTCCGCCATTTTGGAAAATGGTCAAGGACATATCTGAATGTAAAATTTTCCGCTCTTTTCATTTCCGGGGTCAAAAGTAGGGCATCCCATTTGAAAAAACTAACTTGACCTTGAAATAATCTTGAAGGTCAAGGTCAAATTTAGGGCCACCATTGAATAGACAGGGAAAAATCCTAAATCTTTTGTCTGAATCATTTTTCCTCAAAATGCATTTTTCGATAGTTATTGTGCTGTTTCTATAGTTATGGGACACGTTGTATATACAAATGCCCATAATTCGCAAGAAGGATCTGATAGGATTTTGAGCTTTGCCAATTTTGAATGTCCAGATGATACAGAAACTTTCTGCGTAAGCCGTTTTGGCGGACATTTTCATTGAACTTTTTCTCCCTTCCTGATCAGCGTGACTAGTTCATTATTATCATCATGAACATAGGCCATTGTAACAACAATTTGGGCACAAACAATACATGAATATAAACATATATATGCATTTAATTCAGAACAACTGATACAATTTCACAAAATGCTCAAAACTGATAACTTAATAAAAACCTGATTCATTGTTTTAATTTTTTGTATATAGTAAAGGACAATACCTTACTTAAAATTGTTTTAGACTGTTTCCTCTAATTTTTTAGTTTTACATATTAATATTCAAACCTGTTATCATATATACCAGATATTTTTTGCTTAAATTGTATACACATAACTTGATTTTTTTTTTGTTCAAGGTCTGATGTGCTAGGCCATATCCTACCAATTGTCGGTAAAGACTGGGCGCAATCAGGTGTAGCTCAGTTATTCAATAAAATTAAGGATAATGGTTACAAGTTGTTATATCTCAGCGCTAGGGCAATTGGTCAGGCTCGTATAACAAGAGAATACCTACGCTCCATCAAACAGGGTGATCTCAGTATGCCTGACGGACCTATTCTCCTCAATCCGACTTCCTTGATCACAGCTTTCCATAGGTAAGTTAACAACCTTCAAGATTATTACCAGCATAAATCATTCCTAGACGCATTTGTGGTTTGCTGAATAATAATATGCCGCCGCTTCTTTCACACAAGCCTCCGACTTGGCATTTTGATGTTAAACTTTATATTCGTTTTAGGGAAGTCATTGAAAAGAAACCAGAGCAGTTCAAGATATCTTGCATGTCCGATATTAAAGCTCTTTTTCCACCAGACTCCAATCCATTTTATGCTGGATATGGAAATCGAATCAATGTAAGTATATAGTATGCTCTTGAATGTATTTTTCTAAGGTATTGATAGAGATATTCAACCCATTGAAATTGTTGATATATTCAGCCATTGCCAACTGGGTCATTTTTTTAAAGACATTCAGCAGTTTAAAAACCGTTTCATCTGGGAGTGATACAGGTCTCGCTTTCTTGTATTTCGAAACAGCAGGTCACTATCTGCCAGTTTGGCCTAGGCTTTGAGTTATAGTGACTCACATATGTAGTACATTTCACAAATCATTTTTATATGTATATTATAAATGTTTCTTAAACATTTCTTTATTTTAGGATGTTTGGGCATACAGGGCCGTTGGCATTCCCATTGTCAGGATATTCACTATTAACCCAAAAGGAGAGTTGAAACACGAATTAACTCAAACCTTCCAGTCAAGGTGAGTCATGTTTAATATCTCGGTGTGCTTGCATTTGGAATTAATATATTGGGTGCATGTCCTTTTTAATTTTTGTTAAATTAGATTTATTGAAATGTGCTATTTAATTTTTACAGTTACTCCGGCCAGTCTATGGTGGTGAATGACGTATTTCCTCCCCTATTAGACAAAATTATAGCAAATTGCAACCAAAATGAATACGACGATGATTCAGATTCTGAATCATCGTATATAGAATAGAAAGCAATATTATTTCTCTTACAAATTTAAGACAAACTGTGATTATTTGTGGTACTAAATATAACTTATTACGAGATATTCAGTAGTGTAGCATCTAAAGGGAAAGTAGATGTTATAATTTAATTTTTTTATGAACATATGTGTTTTGTCTAGAATGGCTATTGAATGTTGCATGTTAGGTCACCTGCATTGTTCCTTCGTCATTTCACATTACCATTCAACATATCCTCTCCATGATCATTTACAGTGGTGAATAAGAATAGGTTTAATGTAGCATAATCCTTAATTACTAAACCTGGAAGCATGAAAATCTTAATCTTGATGGCAAGCTAAATGTTCATCACTGTATCCAACAGCCACATTTATCCATATGGCTTCTTTAGACAAGAGATAAAATACATATGTATGAGTCCCTGTTGGGACTAACATAATATTCGTACACATTGACTAGATTGAAGAAGTTGAACCAATTCTACATTTTATTCCCTTTATCCTATACCATTATTCCTCTACACTGGCAGATCAACAAATTTGCCTGCAAGATGGCCAGCATGACTTTTTAATGGTAAGCAAACAGACAGGTGAAATGTTTGTTTTATTAATAGCCTAATGCAGCAAATATAACAGGCTGTATAATACTGATTGCCTCATTGCTTTTTAATTTTTTCTAACACCTTTAAAATAACAAGGATGAAAATGGTATTGCTCAAATGATTAGTAAAAATGTATATAAAAAGGAATTACTTGTACTCAAACCTAAGAAAAATAATTCTAATCAGTTGTTTGATACATATGTATATGTGATATTCATCAATTTATTAGAACATGCACTCAGTATATTTGTTTTTGTACTAAACATTTTAAGTATCACATCGGGGTCACCACTTGAGGGTTGCTTTTGGTGTGCAGCAAAATGAAACCCTCTCTTAACGGTAAAATAAAAGTATTATGCCTGCATGTGACCCATTTTAATTATAATGTTAAGAGTGGCAGCTTGACGCCAGACCGGTCTAACAGTTGCAAGCGACAAAGAATAGATGAATCTGCAACGCACACACACTTAGGTTCCCGAAAAAAGCCATGGCAGATTGGCGCCAGGGACTAGATACTTACACCTGCGAACGCCTTCACAAAGGGACTCTCCAACGATAGCTCGCCCCGACAACATTTCTGTTCACTATTATTGTTTTCAATAAAAAGTACTTTGATTTTACTGTTGAGAGAGAGTTTTATTTTGCTACACACCGAAAGCAACCCTCACAGTATATCGACAATTTTTTAAATATTGTTGGTGCTTAGTTACGTTAAATTGTAATTAGTTAACGTTGAAAATGATTTTTCACCACAATTTTGTGTGAACTTAACAATTCACAATATCACATCTTTAGATGTGGTGTCAAAAAATTGAAGATTTAAAGCTAAAAAAAAATTATTTTAAATCACATTTTTATGTTAAGAACAATTTAATTTTACCTTCAGTCCAGTGAAAAAAAAAGAAATAAAAATATTTGATGGATGTATTTAAATAAAATGGAAAACTAAAATTGTACAATTTGCTTTAATTTATATTTTATTATACAGGGTGATTTATTTTACTTGGCAAAAATAAAATAGAATTGTTTCCACTAAGAAAGATTCATAAATAAAACGCAATAAAAAAAATATACATGGTGTTTTCTCCTAAATACAAATCTGAAATTCTTTTTTTTTTTTAAGTAAATAGTTTTTTTTTAAATTAGTTGAGTTGTAATTAGTTTTTAAAATGCACTAATTCTTGTTTACACTGCCACTGTCATGTATTTGTAACAAAATTGTTGGCAACCTACAGTGCATATGGAGGGAGATAGTGCTCGAGCTCGATTCTTCACGATGAGAGAATAGAATGCTCCCTGGAGAACGTTTCCTTATTTCATTCTACTATTGTTCTATCAGAAAATTCATACTGTTTTCTCGACACAAAGGGATCGAGCCATGAAAGTGAAGAAGGAGGAACAATGTTGTCAAATGTACCGACCAATCAGAAAGCAGTAAATAGGTGGTAGATTGAAAATTAGTGATGAGCTAGTCATGAAGAAATAAGTGCTACTTTATTAAGAGTTATTGTTATTTGTCTGTCAGTGTCAGGTGCAATCTAAAAAGGAAAGAAATTGGAAATTAATAAAAAAACCGAAGCTAAATCCAGTAAGTTCTAAATAAAAAGAACTTCTAATAGAATATATTGAGGGTGAAAAAACAAATGTATACTGGAAAGTTAACATCCAGCTACACTAGAGAGAAAATGAGGGCAGATCCATTTTATTCTATTATTATTTTATTCGTGTATTGTACAATCTTTCAAGTAAACACAAATTATACGAACGTTTCCTCAAATTTCTCGAATGATATCACCATAAAACAGTAACTAGAGATATTACAGACAGATTACGGAATTCGTAATTTGTGAAACATGTCAAAAAGTATAGGTTTAGGTTTAATGATCCCTGCCTGTTCCCCTGAAAATATCGGTAGAAGAAATAGGGAACAATTCTATCATTACTCAATAGAACACCATTCAGGAATACCGATTAATGAGTTTTAGTAGAAACATGCCCCCTTTCTCTCGTTCCTTCTACTCCTTATAATTCAAGAATAAAGTCCCTGGTCAACGGTGTTGAAGTGAAGGGGGTCAGTTCGTCAGTTGTTGCTCCGCATTTGAAGACGGTGCATCTAACTGTGAATTTGAGCACCAAAGAGCATCACCTCGCGTCGAATGGTGTGGAAATGTACTTTTTAATAACCTTTCCTTTAAATATGATATTTAAGAACAATGCACAGACCAGTTCCCAAATGTGCATGTGCTATGACTAAAGCACGCCATTATTTGAGATTGCACTATCTTGTCTAACGGCAGGATATGAGAATTTGTAAAAAAAGTTTTAAAAATATATTAAGTTTTCATGAGAGAATTTGCAAAAACAAACTATTGATACGTGTTTCTAAAGGTCAAACAAAGCCTCTGTATGAATGTGACCCCTACTCAAAGTTACATCCCGTATACCTGAGACTCTGGATGTACCACCCGTGGATGTCATTTTGCTTATAATCATATGAAATAGGTACTCTCGGTAAAGATGTTGGAATTTTTGCCATTTTTTGGAGACGGTTGTAATGTCAAATAAAATGTCAAACCTTATTAATCTATTATTGTACGGCTCTGCCAAAACATTTATCGAAAACAAGCATTGTGCTTGAAGTGACTTGAAGACGTCTGGACTTCCTTGATCATTATTATTTCTAGTAATCACTAGTGATGGGCCAGAGCTGGGAAAGATCCTTATAAAAAGGATCTAGATCAAAGATATTAGATCTTTTTTGAAAAGTATCTATAGATCATTTGACATTAGAAAGATTTCAGATACAAGATACTTTTATAAAAGATCTTTTTACAAAGATCAGTATCTTAAATCATTAAATATGATCTAAGATCAAAAAAATATCTTAGATCATTGGAGGAGATCTAAGATTAAAAAAGTAGGTAACTTCTCAGATCATTTAGAAAACATAAGATCTTATTATAAGATCCAATAAATTGGGCCATTGTCAGTTATTGGAATTTATGTTAGACAAAATATTTATTTTAATAGAACACATGCTGGCAAATAAATTTTTAATGGAAGTACCTAACCAATTGTTAGAATGTCACTGAATTAGATACTGAAATGAAACTATAGTCAAATATTTAACACTTACTAGTATTCTGTTACATACACAAAATAATATTATCAACTCGACTCAAAAAATATTTTCTAACAATCAGTAAATTTACACATTATTCTTATGTACATAATGAATTTGCCTTAAGTAGAACTAAATTTTCAAAATTTTTATCGGAAAGTGTACTTCACCTGGGGGCATTAATAAGAGTAGCAAACGAGAACATTCTTTCAACTGGGGCTGATGATGCCAATGGAGTATTAAATTTAAAAAAAAGTTGCTTAATATAGGGATATTTGTCTAGCATTTGAAGAAATCTAAGATCTTTTTTGGGATCTTAGATACTTTTCAGAATCTAAGATCCTTCAATTTAGATTATAAGTTCAGATCTTTTTCAAAGGATTTTTTATAAATAGATCAAGATCTAGTCCTTAAAAAAGTATCTAGATACAAGATCTAAAATCAGATTTTTGATCTTAGATCATTAAAACGATCTATTTTTTTAAGATACTCCCAGCTCTGTGATGGGCTAATTCAAATTAAAATTAACCTGATAATCCTATTATCGAAATTATTTGAAGAATATAATTATTTTCAGTAATTCGAACTACAATGAATAACAGATACTGGACATTATGGACTATTCAATACACTAAAAGTATTGTTATGAATGAACTTTTTTTGGAATAACGATTGAATCGGGTAGTTTTGCTAGTTTTCATTAGTTGCCTTGATGACTAAAGAAAATTAATGGATACAATTGTAAATAATTACACTTATTTTTTTTAGTGTATCTAATTCTGAATGAAATACTTATTTTCCAATTATTGGAATCATTCATAATCTGATAATCCGATTATTAAAATAATTCGATTATTCCCATCTCCAATAAACACAGCGTCCCCTATGCAAAGAATATTCATGTAAACTACAGATCTTATCGGATATACTTCAATAGCCACTAACAAAATTGCCGTCACTTGGTATGATAATAGTTCNTAATTTTTTCGAGAATACCAACCCCCAAAATTCGAACCCATAATATATGATTTTCATAACATATCTTCTTATAGCCCCCTTCCATATATTCAACTGCAATATCCTCCTATTAAACTCCTTATCGATACAGGTAGTTCAAAAACTCTTCTGAAACCCTCCATTGTAGAAAAATACTGCCCACAATTTATCAAGAATGACCCTTTAAAACTAAAAACCGGAATTGGTGAAATAACTATAGAAAAACAAGCTCAAATCCCTTGTTTTCCTGAATTTAATGACGACGTTTCCCTCGATATAATTCTGTATGATTTCCATGAATATTTTGACGGAGCTTTAGGACTTGAAGACATATTGAAACTACAAATTAATATTTCGTTCACTGAAAACCAAATTTTTAATCAAAATTTTTCATTGCCCTTATTATATGACAGACCTAACATAAAATTAAACGAACGAGAAATATCAAAACTCAGTATTCCTGTGGAAATCCCAGATAACACCGAAGTTTACATTCATGAAATTCAAAAGGATAAGTACTACTTACCAAACACCATATCCACAGTACAAAACAAAGCCTTAATAATCGAATTACACAATTATTGTTACCAACCAGCATACTTTGACCTTAATGACATAAAAATTGAACCCCTTACAAACTACACTGTTTTTGACTATTCACTTCATATTAAAAATCGTCTAGACTCCAACTTAAAATTAATAATTTGTTAAGAACTGATCATCTAAATCCCGAGGAAAAATTAAAACTGACCAAACTTTGTCAAGAATATAGTGACATTTTTCAAAAAACTAATGACAATTTAACCTTCACAAACACAGTAAAACACGAAATACGAATGAAGGATGATTTACCAGTTTATACGAAGAGCTATAGATACCCTTATGTACACAAAAAGGAAATCGAACAACAAATTAACCAGTTGTTAGATAACGGCATCATAAGGCCGTCACAAAGCCCCTTTTCTTCACCCGTTTGGATAGTTCCGAAAAAAATGGATCAGAGCGGAAAGAAGAAATGGAGAATGGTAGTAGACTATAGGAAAATAAATGAAAAAACTATTAACGACAAATATCCCTTACCAAACATATCAGACATCTTAGATAAATTAGGAAGAAGTTCTTATTTTTCAACAATCGACTTGGCTTCTGGATTTCACCAAATAGAAATGCATCCAGACTCAGTAGAAAAAAACAGCCTTCACTGTAGATAACGGACATTACGAATATACTAGAATGCCTTTCGGACTTAAGAATGCCCCAGCAACCTTCCAACGTTGCATGGATAACGTATTAAAAGAATTACAAAACAAGATATGTATGGTTTATATAGATGACATAATAGTTTTCTCTAATGGATTACAGGAACACCTACAGAACTTGCAACTAATTTTTGAAACCTTTAGGAAAAACAATCTTAAAATTCAACTAGATAAAACTGAATTCCTACATAAAGAAGTCTCCTTCTTAGGACATATCATTACTAGAAATGGTATAAGACCAAACCCTGAAA